GAGAGCTTGTTCGCCTTGGGGGGAGGCCGGGAAGGGGGGAGGGGTTAGAGGGGATGGTGAGGGAGAGCCGGAGGCTATCTCCTCACCAGGGGTGGGCCTGCTCTCGAGCTGGGCGAGCCGCCTCATCTCGCCTCATCTCGGCCTGATCTCGGCCTGATCTCGGCCTGATCTCGACCTGATCTCGGCCTCATCTCGGCCGATCTCGGCTGGCTGATCTCGGCCTGATCTCGGCCTGATCTCGGCCTGATCTCGGCCGATCTCGGCTGATCTCGGCCTCGAGCGCGAGCTCTGCGACTCTGCCCGCCGTGCCGACCACGAGCTGCGGCCTCGCCTGGCGGACAGCCAGTCTCGGGTAATCTCGCGGCCTGGCGGGCACGGACTCGCGGCTAATCTCGGCTAATCTCGGGTAATCTGGAGACGGCGGCGGCGGCGAGGGCGGGGAGGGGGGAGGGGGGCGACGGTGGGGGTGGGGTGGACGGCGGTGGCGACACAGCTGGGAGGGCGGCGGAGACACTGGAGGCGGCTGGAGCATGGAGGCGGCAGGAGAGGGGTGGGTATGGCGGGGGCGGGGGTGGCGGAGGTAGTGGCTGTGCCTTGCGAAGCCGCTCGAGCTGCCGGTTGACGTTTGCGCCGCCGACCAGCGCGCAAGCGGAGAGACCGGTGCCCTGCAGCAGCGACGCGGCGACGCGAGCCACCTGGTGCGCGAGCTCTCGCGACGGGCAGAGGATGAGCGCCTGCGGCTCGCGCACCGCCGCGTCGAGCTGGCTCACGACCGGCAGCAGCAGCGCGAGTGTCTTTCCTGACCCGGTGTGGGCGTCGATGACGGCATCGCGGCCGCCGGCGAGCACGCTGTACGATGCGGCCTGCAGCGCGTTCGGAAGCGCGCCCGCGCCCAGCAGCTCCTCAAGATTGGACACCACGGTCGGCGGCAGGCCGAGACTCGCAAAGCTCTGCGTCGCGCTGCCGCTGCCCGTGAAATCGGCCGCAACCTCGAGGCGCTCCAGGTCGGCAGGCGTGGACGCGACGCACACAGGTGAAGCAACGGTGGCCGGCAAGACACGCGCTCGCGGCGAGACGAAGGCTAACGCGTGGTACACGAGGAGGCCGGTCATGTGTGTGGGGCAGACCGTATTCCGGCATTGTATTTCTTTTCGGGGGCTTACACACCACCTCACACTGCCCCGGCGCCCACGCCTCAATCTTCTTGGGCAGCAGCTGTTCGGCAGGTCCTCTCCGTGGCCTAGGCAGCCGTGTTCGCCCTTGCCCCACGTTAAGACAGCTCCGTCGGCGGTAATGGCGAGGCTGTGGTATGCTCCTGCCGACACGGCGACGACCCGCTGCCCAGTGAAGGCCTCGACCTTTCTTTTCTGCCGAAAGAAGAATTCGATTTGTGCCGCCGGGAATTCCCCCAGGATTCCCAAAAGGAGCCTGCAATATGGGACTAGGGGTACAGAGGGGGGGCTAGAAATGAAACGCCTTTGGGGCTCACCTTGTGCGCGGTTGGTCCACGCGCATCTGGTGGAAGCGCCGCCATCGACCATGGGCTGCTCTGCCAGCAAGGTTGACGAGATCTATGCCAGTCTCACGCCGTCCTTGCTGCGTTGCGCTGAGGTCGATCTCTCAAAAAATGTCGGGCTTGCGGCTTTCGGCACCGACATGGAGAAGCTCGAGGCTGCATGTGGAGGAGGCAAGGAGTGGATAAAAGAGTTGGGCGGTATCCCTGGGCTCGTTGACCTCGTGCGTGGCGGCGACCAAGGTTCGGATGTGAGTCTCGCGTTGTGTGATCTTCTGAGCGATGGGGCTGGCCCGGCCCTCGCGCTCGTGACGCTCGCGAAGGGTGGCACAGGCGGTGTCCCCATGATGGAGAAGGCAGCGGCAGCAGGAGCATTGTGCGCGCTCGCAAAGCAAAACGAGGGCAACCAGGCGGAGATTGTGGCCGCAGGTCCCCTTCGTGACACTGCAAATACCCCATCGTTCGACATTGGCCCTCTATCACGCTAGTACACCGCCACTGCCTCAGGTGGCGTCCGGCCCCTTGTGGATCTCCTTGCTGCTGGCGCGGATGAGGAGAAGAGGGAGGCGGCGAGAGCTATTGCGGCGCTCGCCGACGGGAAGAGGGCAGTGCTGGCGGCGTCGGGAGTCATTCGACCCCTCGCGGAGGTGCTCGTGGACGCCATTGAGAAGGTAAAGGTCTCGCGGAAGAGTGAGTGGCGGCTCGACAAGACTTGGTGCCCGACGCAAGGACCCAACCTGGTGCTGATCGACGCTGCGCTGGGCGCTCTCTTCCTCCTCGCCGACGAGGAGGACCGCAGGCGTGAGATGGCGGCCGCGGGTGTCATCCCATCGCTCGGCCCACTCTTCCAATACCTCAAGGTTGTGGCGACCGTGCATGACCTCATCTCCGTTGGCCAGACTCCGCGGTCTTTCGAAGAGGTGACGAGCGCATCCACCCAAGTGAAGGAGGCCATGCGAAAGCTGGTTGCCCTCCTCGGGCTCTTCATGGAGGGCGGCAGCACCGCACGGTTGGCGGCGCAGGCTCTGCGTGAGGTGCTTCCGAATGAGACGCTCCGACCGCGCGTTCACTTTGCGGACACGATCTGAGCCTCACTTTGCGGAGATGATCTGAGCCTCTGCCTCGAGAGAAGATTCGAGGTGTACCATATTCGAGGAAACGTGCCTTTGCTGTGTCGAAAGGGGTGTCATGGAGTGTGCGTGTGTGACACGTCTCTGATATGTGTCAGGGGGGTCCGCGTTGATGACCAGAGGTTGCGTCTCTAGAGGGGGCTGTGCGTCACGTTGTGGAGGTCGTCGGGAGCTTTTTCTTGGGTGTGACGGTCCGACGCGAGACGAGCTCGGGCGAATTGCCTCCAACGCGCATGAAACACAGGCAAACGAGAAAGGAAAAGCACGTGCGCCTCCATGGACGCGGTCCACAATTCCACAGCGGCCGTCGGTACTACCAGGATGTGATGGTCTCCCGGAGTACCCCGGATTGTATTTCTTTTTGGGGGCTACCCTGATGTAAGAATATCGCGGGCGCACAGACAAAACCCCGCCACCTCACTGCCCCGGCGCCCACGCCTCAATCTTCTTGGGCAGCAGCTGGTTCGGCAGGTCCTCTCCGTGGCCTAGGCAGCCGTGTTCGCCCTTGCCCCACGTGAAGACAGCTCCGTCGGCGGTAATGGCGAGGCTGTGGTATGCTCCTGCCGACACGGCGACGACCCGCTGCCCAGTGAAGGCCTCGACCTTCTTCGGCAGCAGCTGGGTCTGCTGGTCGCCGTGGCCCAACCTGCCAAAGGAGCCAATGCCCCAGCTCCAGACGCTGCCGTCGGCGGTGAGGGCGAGGCTGTGGTTGTATCCAGCCGACACAGCGAGGACGCGCTGGCCAGTCAAGGCCTCGACCTTCTTGGGCAGCAGCTGGTTCTGCCAGTCGCCGTGGCCGAGCTTGCCCCCACCTCCATCGCCCCAGCTCCAGACTGCGTTGTCGGCGGTAATGGCGAGGTTGTGGTGCTCCCCAGCCGAGACAGCGACGACGCGCTTCCCCGCCAAGGATTCGATCTTCTTTGGCAGCAGCTGGCGCTGCTCGTCGCCGTGGCCCAACCGGCCAAAGAATCCACTGCCCCAGCTCCAGACAGCACCGTCGGCGGTGAGGGCGAGGCTGTGGTGGACTGCTGCCGACACAGCGACGACGCGCTGGCCAGCAAAGGCCTCGATCTTCTTCGGCAGCAGCTGGGCCTGCTGGTTGCCGTGGCCCAACCTGCCAAACTCTCCATCGCCCCAGCTCCAGACGGCGCCGTCGGTGGTTAGGGCGATGTTTTGGTCGCCTCCCGCCGACACAGCAACGACGCGCCGGTTAGCAAAGGCCTCGACCTTCCTTGGCTCCAGCTGACCCTGCTCGTCTCCGTGGCCCCAGACGCCAGAGTGTCCATGGCCCCAGCTCCAGACACTGCCGTCGGCGGTAATGGCGAGGTTGTGAATACCTCCAGCCGACACAGCGACGGCGCGCTCGCCGCCCAGCGGGGAAGGGAGGCGTGTCGGTGTGTTGAGCCGCGTCACGCCCTCGCCGTGCCCGAGCAGTCCCGGCATCCAGTTCTCAGCCTTTCCGCACGACGAGAGCCGCCCCTCGCCGTCGATGAAGAGGCTGTGCCAAAGGCCCGCCGCCAGCCTCGCCGGCGGGTTGGACTCGCGCAGCAGCGCCGAATAGCACAGCCACCGCACGGCGCAGCTCTCGCCCTCTGGCTGCGCCGGCAGCTCGAAGCCGCGCTCTTGCGCCCACAAGCGGATGCCCTCCAGCGCAAGCGAGGCGTGGAAGAGGAGCGAGACGGCCGCGACGCGAGCGATGTCGGCGGGGTCGCAGCGAGAGATGACGCGCGCGAGAAGCTCAAGGGGCAGGTCGGTGAGGGGGCAGTGTGCGGCGGCGGTGGCGGCGGCGGCGAGGCGGCGCGAGCGGCGGGGTGGACATCGCGAGAAAAATAATTCAAACCGAGCTCCCTTCCCGCACACACCCCTCTCCTTAAAATCCCTGTGTGGTGGCGGCGTGCCGTCCTCCCATCCCTCCCTTGGGTTGCCCGTTTTCTTTCTTTCTTTCATTTCACTAGTATTAATTAGCAAAGGACACGTGTAGACACAGAGTCAGACTTGTACACCTGTACAACATATCCCAACATCTCGCTAGTAAGAACAAGCAGTAACTGTGGCATGCATCACCTGCGCCCTTTCACGCGTGTACGATTCAGCGCCCGCCCGTAGCTAACGGGTCTGGGTCGCGTGGGCTGAGACCTGTACGTCGCCCGTAGTCTTGCGTGGCACAGCATGCAGAATCGCGCTCCACCCCACTCTCCGTCGCGCAGGTGCCGTGTGCCTCGCTGTAATACACTGCTCCGACATGGCCAAGCGAGGCGCGCCTCCAGAGCCTCATCGCCAGCTGCGGACCTCAGCCGCCGCACAATCTGGCGCGCATTGGTGCCGTCGCGAAAGGTCTGGACGATGGCAGAGAGGAGCGGGCGGTCCGAGTGGGAGGAGTTGCACTGTCGCACCTGCCGCGCCCCTGCGTGCGCGCCCGTCCCTTGCCCCGTCGACCTGGGAGCAAGCAGGAGCGAGCGCAAGCTGGGCTCATCCATGCAAACTGGGAGCGCCCGTCGTGGAGTCAACCCGGATTGCGGAGTCGTGCGGTGCGCGGGGCTCCTTTTCCGAATACTCCCTACATACATCTCGTACCCGTTCTGGGCTGGAATCCTAGCCTTCTACAAAAGAAGGTTCACCGGAAGTACCTCGCCAGGATGACGATATTGATTGACGTTCCACACTGAGGGCGGTCGTGCGCCCCTGTGGTGGAGCAAGATGCTCTCGCCTCTCGGGTCTTCCCGCCGCCGCCGGGAAAAGACGCGCAAGAAACTAGAAAGGAGGCCAAGCGGCTCCATCAGTAACATCAGCTGCGATATTTTACTGTACAATAGGTCACCCATGCCACAGACCCATGTAAGACCACCAAGCACCATTGCGGCACCATGCGATGCATGTTGAACGGCAGCCTGGCAGTGTATGGCATGGGAAGAGACGCGGAAGTGGGAACTGTCTCAAGCAGGGCCCAAGCACCTCGGCACGCGCGTCGGGAGAGGACGCGGGGTGGTGCGCAGCTGATGCGCAGCGAGAGCAGCCTCAAACCAGGACGGCCCGTTGGCTTTCTGCCGCAGAAAGCCAACGGGCGAGCAGCCACCTCGCAGCAGCCGCAACCCCGAGCAAGCCGGCCAGCGGCGGCGCGACGGCAAGCGAGATGTCGAGGCCTCTCGCCGCGAGCGGCGGCGTGGACGGCGGCGGCAGCGGCGGCAGGGAGGGGCGGAACTGCTCCGCGGCGTAGCCCCCGGCGAGGAGGTCGACGGCGGGGCCGGCGGTGCCCGAGACGAGGGCGGTGGCGGTCCCAAAGGCGATCGAAGCGCCTTGCTCGGCAACGCCCCAAGCGCTCCAGAAATCAAAGGGCGGCGGCAGCGGTGAGGGCGGCGGAGGCGGCGGCCGGGGCGGCTGCGGCGGCGACGGCGGCTGCGGCGGCGGCGGGGCGGGCGGCTGCGGCGGTGCGGGCGGGTAGTCGAGGAGCCCGACCCAATGCGCCATGGCGTCGAGCATGAAGTGTGTGCCGTTCTCGCCCGAGAGGCGCTGGGTGTACTCGGAGACTTGCAGCTGCTGCGCCTCCATCGCGTCGATGCGCGCCTGCTGCTCGAGGACGAACCCCTCCCACGCCTGTGGGCACAGCGGACGGCGTGACGAAGCGCTGCTCACGCCAACTACTGGGCGAGCACGACGCCCTGGACGCGTCCAGCGTGTCAGCGGCCATTGTCAAGCGGTGCGGGCAGAGGGGAGGCGGAAGTGTCGGCGGGCATGAGGACGCGCCATAGGCGGTTGGAGACCGTGGTGGGGCAAGGGCGGCGAGGGGGGAGGTGTCTCGGAAGCGACTCCCGCGCCGTCGATAGCGTCGCCATCCGCGCCTATGCGACATGTCATGGACGTGTCGTGGACGCGTCATGGACGGGTGCTCGAGAGCGCCGCCCTCCGCACCAGTCCGTGGGCGACGGGGTCGATGCCGGTCGTCTTCGAGAAGGCCATCGCCGCGGCGAGCAGCGTGGAGGCGCGCCGTGCTCCGGCCGACTCGAGCGTCACACGCGTTGCCTGATGGGGCATGCGGACCGGCCGGTGGCTCGGCGGGCACGCGGACTCGGCGCCTCGGGCGGTCTGGGGGGCTGCGTTGAAGCGCCAGTCGATGACGACGCCGTACGGATCGGGCGTGCCGCCAAGGATGCGCATCTGCAGCGGCCGGTCTAGCGTCGACATCCCGACTAGGCGGAAGGGGGGGGGGGGGGGGGTGGTCAGAGGCGGGCGCGGGTGCGGGCAGAGTGGTGGTGGGGAAGGGGGGGGGCGACGCACTGCGGCAGACGTCGTGCGTGCCGTTCGTGGAGGACTGGTCGGTGATCGTGCGCCACGCCGCCGCGCGCTGCGACGCCGTGACGCGCCTGAGGGGGGGGGTGGGGGTGAGAGGAAGAAGGGGAAGCCGGCTATCTCCCAACCCCACCGCCAAGACAGGTGGAGCCCCCACCACGCCCACCACCACCACGGCACTGGGAGCGCGCCGGGAGCCGACGATGGTGCGGTAGAGGTCGTACGAGCCGCGCGGGTGGCGCTTCCTGCGCGCGAGACGAGCAGGTGGTGGTTGGGACTAGCGGGGCACGTGGTGGTGGTGTGGTGGTGTGGTGGTGGTGCGGTGGTGGTGTCGTGGTGGTGTCGTGGTGGGGTCGTGGTGGGGTCGTGGTGGGGGCCCAACGGCGTCGAACCTCTCCGGCTCGGGTGGGATGGGGAAGCGGCGGCGGTGGGAGGGCGGGCGGCGGCGGCGGCGGCGGGAGGGGAGGGTGGAGAAAGAGGGAAGGAGAAGGGCGGCGCGGGCGGCGCTCACAAGCTCGGCGAGTCGCGGTCGACGTCGACGAGCCCAAACTTTGGGCAGTAGCCGTCGGCCCACTCCCAGTTGTCGGTGACTGTCCAGTGGATGTATCCCCGCACGGGCACGCCGAGGACGGAGCGGGCATGGTGCAGCGCTGCGAGGTGCTCGATGATGTACGCCGGCCGCAGCAGGTCGGAGCCTAAAGAGTGAGCCTCGGCCGGTCTAGGCCCATCTCGGCGAGTCGTCCCCTGGCCCGCGGCTGGGTCGGAGCCGTCGGCGATGCCGTTCTCGGTGATGACGTAGCCGTAGCCGCTCGGGCCGACGAAACGGGCCTGGTCGTCGTCCTGGTAGCGCGAGTGGAACTGCGCGAGCACGTTCACCATGCCGGTCGCGGAGATGCCTCGCCCGTTGCCAGAGTACTCGACCTGGTGGGACGAGGGGAGGAATGGGAGACTGGGCGCGTGCGCTTCGCCCGTCGCGTCTTGACTCGGCCTCGTGCGGCAACGTCGCGGGCTCGAAGTTCTGGATCACCTCCTCGCCATAGTAGTTGATGCCTACGCGACACACGGCGGCGGCGTGTCATGGACGTGTCACCGAGCGCCTTCCCCTCCTGGCAGCTGAAAGAAGAAACCGCAAAAGTCGAGGACGTCGCGCAGCATGTCGATGAAGAGGTAGCGCGCAAACAGCTTCAGGAAGAGCTCTGTCGCCTGCGATCAAGCGCGATCGAGCACGCTCGAGTCAGACCGGAGCCCAAGAGACACCCTCGCCGGCCGGCAGCGGCAGCGGCGGGAGCCAGCGGCGAGCGGCTGCAGGAATGTGGTCTGGCGAGGAGAAAGTGTGCCGAGGGTGTGTCTGTGTGCCGGGGGGTGTCTGTGGGGCGAGCGTGCGTGCTGCCTCGTCGAGCTTGCCGGATTGCTCGCCGTAGTTGGAGTAGGGCCGCGTGTCCATCAGCAAGTGCGCCACGCCGACCGGCGCCATCCTCCAGCCGCGCCGCGACTCTGTCGCACGGATGAGCCCGTAGAGCCGCCGGTGCGCCGCCACCATGTTAAGCTGCGCCTGCGGGGAGGGCTCCGGGAGAGGTCCGGGAAAGGCCGAGGAGAGGCCTCGCTAGAGGCGGTGCGCTGCGGCCATAGCCGCGCCTTGAGCGATCCCGTCTCCGGGTTGGTGAGGCAGTTGACCTACCGGGTGGTGAATCAGGAAGCGTGAGTGGTAGTGAGTGGTAGCTGCGGCGAGCCGGCTTGGCGGAGGCGGTCGGACCTTGACAGCCATCGACGTGATAGGTGGTCCGGGCGGCCACATGCCCATGCAGTGCGAGAGGGAGGTGTAGATGACTGGCTCGTTGAAGATGACCCAAAAGTCGACGAGGTGGCCTAGCCGCTCGACGACGTCGACGCCGAAGGCGACGAAGAGAGACGCCGCGTTCGGGTGCTGCCACATCGCCCCTGTGCCGGAGCCGCTCGAGCGCGGGTGCCAGTGCGGGTCTCGCGCCTGCTCGCGCGCACGGGGGGTGAGGCGACCCAGGCCGCGCCTCCGCACTGCATGCCGCGCTGGCCGCAGCGGTGGCCGTGGCGGGTGCGGGGGCGGCGCGCCGTGAAGCGGTCGTTGGCTGCGGCGAGCACATCCGCCGACGGCCAGGTCCCCCAGATAGGGAAGGAGTGGTGGAAGAGAGTGAGCATCACCTTCATGCCGTAGCCACGCGCCATCCGGAGGATGCGCTCGTACCGCTCCAGCGCCGCCACGTTCTGGATCCGGCACTTTCGCGCGTCCGGCTCGTCCAGCCGGCAGTGAGGCACCAGCCTGCCCCAGTCAACGCCCATCCGGTAGACCTGCACACCGAGGCCGGCGGCAAGGCGGATGTCCGTCTCCGGCTCGCTCCACGCGCGCAGCCGCTCCTCGGCCCGCGGCACGTTGGTCCACGCTCGCACGTTGCCCTCGCGAGCAAACCGGAGCCAAGCGTCGTCCAGGCCGTCCTCCTGGTGCGCCGGAGCGGTCGCTATGCCCCACCAGAAGCTGTCCGGGTCGTCCCCGAAGTCCGCGACGGCGGCCTCCGATGAGGAGAGGTTCCGCGGCTCCAAGGTGTGGTGCTCCAGCCTGGTCCCAGCCTCAGCCATCCCCCACTCGGCGTCGGTGTCGAGCGCCTTCTGCCACGCCTGCGCGAGGGAAGGCCCTGAGGGGAGCGAGGAGCGAGAGAATTCTTCGATGCACCTTATCGGAAGCGATACAACTTTTTTACTGCGGTTTTTCTTCTTTCTGGACGCATGATATGGGTGTCGGCATAAGTGTCGGCAGCCCAACCTTGCCGGCCGACCTGGCGGTGGGCGAACTGGGCTCGCTGCGCGCCTTCCTCTCCGGGCGGCGGACGCGCGGCACTCTCAACGCGCGGCTCGACACCGAGAAGCAAGACACGCAGCTCACCTGGGCCGCTCGTCACGGGCAAGCCGAGGCGGTGCGGCTGCTGCTCGAAGCCGGCGCGAGCGTCGGGGCGACGAATGGCAGCGGCGCGTCGGCGCTGTTCGTCGCGTGCGCGGAGGGCGAGATCGAGATCGCCCGTCTGCTTCTCGCGGCCGGCGCGGCGATCAACCAAGCCGCAGCGGATGGCGCCACGCCGCTGCTGATTGCGAGGCAGGCCACGTCGAGTGCGCCCGGCTGCTGCTCAAGGGCGGAGCGTGCGTCGGGGCGACTGACGGCGATGGTGCCACCACTCTCTTGCTCGCGTGCGAATCGGGTTGCCCGGAGTGCGTGCAGCTGCTTCTCGAGGCCAACGCGGCGATGAATCAAGCTGATGACGGCGGCTGGACGCCTCTGCACGTTGCGTGCCAGAAGGGCAACGTCGAGTGCGCCCGGCTGCTGCGCGAGGCTGGCGCTGACATCAACCAAGCGACGAACGGCAGTGCCACACCGCTGCTCATCGCGTGCCAGGAGGGGCACCTCGAGATCGCCCGGCTGCTTCTCGAGGCTGGCGCGGCGGTCAGCAAAGCCGATGAGAACGGCGTCACGCCGCTGTACATCGCGTGCGAGAAGGGCCACGTCGACATCGCCCGGCTGCTTCTCGAGGCTGCCGCGGCGGTCAGCCAAGCCTCTTACAACGGCTTCACGCCGCTGTACATCGCGTGCGAGAAGGGCCACCTCGACATCGCCCGGCTGCTTCTCGAGGTCGGCGCGGCGAAGGACCAAGCCGACGAGCAAGGCGCCACGCCGCTGTACATCGCGTGCCAGCAGGGCCACGTCGAGGTCGCCAAGCTCCTCTCCTCCTACGGCGCCTCCCGCGCCGCAGTGCCGCCCTTCGGCACGCCCGAGGAGATCGCAAACCGCAAAGGCCACGCCGACCTCGCCGCCTGGCTGGTCGCCAGCCGCGGCTGGACGCCGCTCGCGCACCTTGAGACCCTCACCGCCGCCCGCGCTCTCTCCCTGCTGCGCAGCGGCGCGAGCTTGCACGAGGGCGAGCCGACGCCGCTGCAGCGCGCCGCGGGCGGCGAGGGCGAGGCGGCGGCATC